GGTGGGGAGAGGGAAGGGGGCAGTCAGGGGACAAGGGGGGGGTTGTAGTTCGGGGGGGCTGTCAGGGGGCAGGGGTGGGGAGAGGGAAGGGGGCAGTCAGGGGACAAGGGGGGGGTTGTAGTTCGGGGGGGCTGTCAGGGGGCAGGGGTGGGGAGAGGGATCGGAGCAGTCAGGGGACAGGGAGCAGAGTGGTTCAGATGGGTTGGGAGTTTTGGGGGGGGGGCTGTCAGGGGGTGGACAGTGGTTGGATGGGGCGTGGGAGTCCCAGGGGTCTGTCTGGGGGCAGGGGTGGGGATAAGAGTTGGGGCAGTCAGGGGGCAGGTAGGGGGTAGGGTCCTAGGGGGCCAGTTTGGATGGGGGGAGGGTCTCAGGAGGGGGCAGTCAGGGGACAAGGAGCAGGGAGGCATAGGTAGGGGGTGTAGTCCTGGGGGGCAGTTAGGGGCAGGGGTCCCAGGAGGGGGCAGTCAGGGGACAAGGCGTGGGGGGGAGGGTTGGGAGTTCTGAGGGGGTGGGAAGTGGGAGGGAGTGGAAGGGGCAGGGGCGGGGCTAGGGCAGGATGGGGGCGGGGCTAGGGCGGGGCTCCTCCCGTCCTCTTTTTTGATTGTTGAAATATGGTAACCCTAAGCATTTTCAGCACCTCCCCCCACCCCCGTCTACACCCGACCTTCGTGTTTTCCTCAAAAAATAAAAATGTCAACGTGTAGGTGCCCCTAGAATGGATTTTTTAATCATACTGCTTGCCACAGAAATCCAGGCCCTTCCACACCCAGAAGCTTCCCGCCATCTAACACTAAACACACACTCTCCGGCTCAGTTAAATAATAGAATTCTGACAGTGGAGAGAAAAGGCAATTTAGCAGCACCCTACACTTATCCCACAGATTTCTGTTCATAATTCACACCCCAGCAGCTGGCTCCCGCCCCTGAGGCCCTAGAAAACAGGCCAGTCCCAGGGCTGACAGGCTCAGACACATTCCTGGAGACCAGAAAAGGACGAAACAAAGAATTCTGAAGTTTGTACAAGCCAATATAATTCAATTCTGACAAGATATTCGCCTCGGTCCTTACCTGGTGGACAGATTCTCTGGCTCTAATAGGCAGGAGAGTTCAGAAAACTTCAATGCTTTTTCCAATGCCTTCACACAGAATTTCCCCAGGAAAGGAAATGAGCAAACCTGAAAGTGAAACCATCATCCCCAGTTGCTGAGTTTCTCAAAATACACTCAGCCATAGACACACCCATCCCACTGAGAGCAGGGATGTAGAAGCTATTGAGATAAAAATTCTGTTTGAAGAGGCCCAAATCACAAGATCACCAATAAGCTAGAAGGGTCACACTCCCAAGCCCCTGGTCAGGAAAAGGAGAGTCACTGCAGTGTTGGGGGGATATCAAGAGATTACAAAGTCTGATAAAACAGTGATAATGGGAGACTTCAATTGCCAGCACATAGAATCATAGAATATCAGGGTTGGAAGGGACCTCAGAAGGTCATCTAGTCCAACCCCTGCTCAAAGCAGGACCAATCCCAACTAAATCATCCCAGCCAGGGCTTTTTCAAGCCGGGCCTTAAAAACCTTCAAGGAAAAAGATTCCACCACCTCCCTAGGTAACCCATTCCAGTGCTTCACCACCCTCCTAGTGAAAAAGTTTTTGCTAATATCCAACCTAGACCTTCCCCACTGCAACTTGAGACCATTACTCCTTGTTCTGTCATCTGCTACCATTGAGAACAGTCTAGATCCATCTTCTTTGTAACCCCCTTTCAGATAGTTGAAAGCAACTATCAAATCCCCCCTTATTCTTCTCTTCTGCAGACTAAACAATCCCAGTTCCCTCAGCCTCTCCTCATCAGTCATGTGTTCCAGCCCCCTAATCATTTTTGTTGCCCTCCGCTGGACTCTTTCCAATTTTTCCACATCCTTCTTGTAGTGTGGGGCCCAAAACTGGACACAGTACTCCAGATGAAGCCTCACCCTGATTACCACTACAAAAGTGATTTTCCTCCTGCTGATAATAGCCCACTCTAATTGAATTGTCTTGGTAAGTATTGGTAAGGCAATCCCCATCTTTTCATGTACTCTGGATGTAAGCAGAGTCAGGATAAGCTCTACGCTGACATCTGGTGGTGAATTATGGCGAGTGGAAAAGAACTCCAGGGGCTGATCTTGTTTGCATAGGCACACCCACCCGCCTGGCATGAAACAACAGCAACTCAAAGTGGTTACTTTGGCTGGTGTCGGATCCCCAGTTTCTCTGTTATTGGGGCAGGAAGAATAAAGTTTTGTTACCCTGATTCTGTGAATCAAGGCCAGTGAAACTGTTGTATGACAGAGGGACTCACCAGTAACTAAGTAGCACTTGCTAGACAAAGGGCATGGGTTACAAAACCCAGTGATTTGTGAGAGGTTGGGGACAGGTATGTGTACCTGATGGTATGGGTGCCTTTTGGGGGCCTGGCACACCAATTGCATTATTCCCTTGCTCCACTGTTGAATAGCATAGCTAAGTTTGGTTCCATTAAGAGTCTAGCTAGCAGTTGCTGAACTGAATTCACTTTGGGCCAATGGTGCACCAGCATTGGGGCTCCCTAACCATAAGCTGAAATCACTAAAAGAGTAAAATTGCTGAGCTGAGATCACTGAGTGCTGTGTTAACCACTGGGGGAGCCTGAAGATATAGTGCTAAGCAGCTGGCAGAGCCGAGCAGTTTGTGGGACGGTTGGAGCGGCCCATGGAACAGCGAGTCGAGTGGTGCAGAGTGGAGCTGAGCCATTTGCGGGGGCAGCTGGAGTGGTTCATGGGACGGCTGGTGGAGTGGAGCAGCTGGCAGAGCTGAGCAGTTTGTGGGTCGGTTGGAGCGGCCCACGGAACGGGGAGCAGAGCGGAGCAGTTTGCGGGGACAGCTGGAGGAGCGGCGCGGCTAGTAGAGCGGAGCCATTTGTGGTAAAGACTGCAGCAGAACTCCACGGAGATGTGGGGCAGTCGGCCTCGGACCACGTAAGGTGCCCCTTAACATCCTTTGTGCCCCCCCCATTTCCGCCCAGGCTGGGGGGATAAAACTCTGCAGATAAACTTTTGAACTCTGGGGCGGCACTGACCAGGGACAGAGACTTTGGGGTTGTTGGACTTTGGTGTGATTGGACTTAAGACCCCGAGGGAAAAGGACACTGCCAAACTTACTTGGAGGTGGGTCTTTTGCTCATGGTTTGTGTTATGAATCCTGTTTGTGGTGTTTCCCCAACATAATGCCGCATTGTTTCCCTCCTTTATTAAAAGGCTTTTGCTACACTCAGACGCCATGCTTGCGAGAGGGGAAGTATTGCCTCCTAGAGGCGCCCGGGGGGGTGGTATGTAATTATCCCAGGTCACTGGGTGGGGGCTCGAGCCGGTTTTGCATTGCGTTATTGAAACGGAACCCCTAGATACAGAACCCGGCCCTTGTTGCTGCCAACTCAGAGGGGCAGAAGGGTTGCATGTGTATATATATATTATATATATCTTCCTACTGTATTTTCTACTCCATGCATCCGATGAAGTGGGTTTTAGCCCACAAAAGCTTATGCCCAAATAAATGTGTTAGTCTGTAAGGTGCCACAAGGACTCCTTGTTGTTTTTATTCTTATAAGACTAATAGTTTTGATCAAAATAGATAACATACAGGTGAATTGGCTTGGTCTCCAGCTATAAATTGGTTAGTTTTTAGCTATTGCCTTCAGTACTGGCAAGAGATGGCCCCTGGTTTGCCTGCGTCACAAAATTAACCAAATGTTTGGAACAATACAAACATACATGCATGGAAGAAGCTTACTGAAAATACAAATATTCAGTGGGAAGGAGAAACCTAGGAGCTGTACTGCTCAGAGAAGCAGGGTGTTCAGTAGTAACGAATACTAATCCTGCACTATGGAGACATTGGGCCAGGTCCTCAGTTGGTGTAAACCTATGAAGTCAATGAAACTTTGCTCATATGCATCAGCTGAGGATCTGGCCGATTGCGTACTCCAGTGGATCTAGGGCAGTGCTGAAGAACTGGAGGGATTGTATAATCAACTCTGGGTTTCAGTGTAGCCAACACTCATGGTTTTATTGCAAGTCTCATGTATTGGATGCTTTTCTTATAAGCCCCAGCTCCAGGAGTCATGTCAACGTGCGAATCTCAGCTAGTGCTCATGGCTTTGCAGGGAAGCTTGGACACATGACCCATCTGCCTCTGAGGCTACGTGCACACAGCCTGCGGCAGCAAATCTCAGCGCCTGGGCAGACTCAGGCTCGCGTTACAGCTCTAAAATCAATTGCATCGAGATTCGAACTGGTGCTTGGGCTCTGAAGCCCTCCCCCTTCCCTAGGCTCCAGAGCTGCTGTAGCGCCAGACCTGTGAGTCCGAGCTGTCGACCTGGGGTCTGCAATTCACTGCCGTGGGCTGCCCCTCACGGTGTAGACGCACCCTTAAAGGCTCACAAACCCGGCAGCAAATAAAAGAACCAGCCGTTTGTGGGTGTGAATTTCCAGGATTTTTAAGGCAATCGCATCCTTTGGAGGACTTGGCTCGCGCATTTTGAACACTCGGGGTTTGTGACACGGGGGTTTGTACTTTCTGGGCTCTCAGGAGGCAGCACGGTGTCCTCTCCATTCCCCTTACCGATGGGCCACGGGAGCAGTGACTGGCTCACCACACTGCAGGAACCGGCCTGTTTTGGCCAAGCACATTATATTCACTTTTATCAGACCAGCCTAACAACAAGCCGCCCGTCCATTCTCTTGCTAGTTGGCCTGTTCATTTCAGAGTGCCGACAGCCAAATCTAATTATAGGGGCAGGGAGGCTGCAGCCCTGACCAGCTGGAATCCGTCTCAGTGAGACAGGCAGCCGCACTGTCTGGGTTTTAATTTGTAATCCTTTATTTTAAGAAGCCTCGTCAGTGCACGGTGCCAGGACCTGCCATTGGGCCGGGGATTTCAGACTCCATCGACACCAGCACGCTACAGTCTGTGTTATACCAGTGCGATACACTCCGCTCGGCCTGAGCCGAGGAAACAACACCAGAAATCCCAACCATCCTCTGCACCAGCAAATCCTTCCAGAAAGGACTACAACTCCCAGGAATACCCTGCGAGAGCCCAGCTCTCACAACAGAGCAGGCTGGGCGAATTAAACACAGCAACAAGGGAGACCAGAGCCCCGTCCTTCCCCCCAGCAAAGCCTCTGGAGATTATGCTCTAAATCCAGCATCTATTTGCTCTCCAAGCAGGGACCAATCACCCCCTCCCCAGCTCAGCTGTGTTTCTGTTTGCTGTGCTGCTTCCCCTGTTGCTTTACTGAGCTGAGCACAAGCTGGGGTGTGAGGCTGAGTGTGCAGCCATGATGCGATGCAGTGAGAGCAGAGAGCAAGCAGGCATGAGGAATGCTAAGAGAACTGAACCCTGTCAGAGAGTGGTCTGGAGCCTTCGGTATTTTCCAGTTCTCTGCTGAGAAACCCAGTCTGGCCAGAGGAAGGGGAAGCAAGGAAACGCCTGGAGAGGTTTCTGCTCAGGTAGGAGTCTTACAGTGATCTTGGGGCTAATCCAGCTTTCATTCAAATCAATGGGAGTCTTGTTGTTAGGAGCAGGACCGAGCATCACTAGCTTAACCACATCCAAATGTCGTAAAATCTCTGCATGGCAAATCAGTGCAGCGAAGAGAAATTTGTTTAAGCGTTTGCTGCCCATGTGATGACTAATAACTAGTCAGGATCAGACTGCGGCTCAGTTATGTCGGGCAAACTTGGAGTAAGTCCCCTGCCTTGCTTTCAAAAGAAATAGCCCAATTCACACTGAGACCAGACCGTGGCCCGTGCTAGTTTTAGAGAACTTAGAAGCTGTAAAACAAAGTGATGAGTCAGGTCCTGCTCTTGTTTATACCCATGTCAATCTGGACTAACTCCGCTGATGTCAATGGAGTTACTCTAGCTTTACAAGCGTGGAATTCAGAGCAGAGTTTATTAAGGCTTCAGCTCTGGAGAGGCACTGCGCACCCACAACACCCACTGAATTCAGTGCAGGTTCTGAGCATCCCTGTGAGTTTGGTCCAGGATTAGCAATCAGAGGGTCTGATTCACCTCTCACTTCCCGCAGTGCAAATACGGAGCAGCTCCACTGACCTCGCTGCTGTAAAATGGGTCTAAGTGACTGGAAAAACCAGGCCGAGAATTTTTGCAAGGGCCAGAGACATTCCTGCTGAACATCTCTGCCCAGCAAAGGGAGCTGGCTGGCACCAACGGCGCTGGCCTTTGGTGTCTGTCTGACAATTATTCTGTTTTATTGTATTGCTGAGGGGCTTGGGCCGCAAACACTCCAATTTAATGACAGCTTCAATTCTTCTAGCAAGAGGAACAACATTTTCTGCCCCTGTTGCTGCCAGGGAGATAGATGTAAGCCGTTATTCAAGAAAAAGCCCCGGTGGAGAATTAAGTCTATAGTTCACCTTATGGTGAAATGATTTCGAATAAAACTCTGGCCTTAATTCCCCCCTTTGTTGTAAAAAAGAAAATAACCCGAAGAGCAGCTACATCTCCCCAGGCTGAAAGAGGGGCTCCACTGACACCCGAGACTGCTTTGTGGTGGGGTCAGACCCGCATTGGGGTCTCAGTTGATGGTGTGTAACTGCTAATACTATATATGATGTAAGAAGTTCAAGCTTGCATTCCCAGTGTGCTCCACCCCCCATCCCCCAATTGACTTTCATTCTGGGCAAGCAACAATTGCCAAACTAGGCTCAAATTATTCCGATTTCATTCTCCCCCATTTCAGCAGCGGAAGGTCTCATGTTTTCAGGCTTATGAATATATATGCTTCATGTTGGGACAAGTGTATTGCCATCACAGTAACCTCCAGAATTTCTTTCTTCTCTAGTACCTGAAGAATCCACGAACAAACAGGAGCAGCATCATACAGAATACATTGAACTGCAGGGAACAGCTTCAGAAAGACATGATGAGGATGGTTTTTAGGGCTGTGATAATGGGCCAAGTGGCAGGACCTGGTGAAATCTGAAAGCAAAGAGGAACCTAGGAGAGAAATCCACTCCTGGTGAAAGAAGACCCAGCACACTTGCCGATATTAGACTATGGAGACTATGTGATGTGGGGAGAGACTCCCAGAGCAGAATCTTCCTAATGCAGCCCCCACTAGACAGAAATCCTATGTGTCTGTACAACTCCTAGCACAGTGGGGCCCTGACCAGGTTAAGTATCAGTGTTAAATACTAATACTAGAAATACCTTTCCTGTACCATAAGCTGGCGGGGAAGGAAGATGCTCAAAGCCCCGCAGAGCCCTGACCCAGACGACAGGCCATACAAGTGCACTGAGTGCGAGAAGTGCTTCCGGCAGAAGAAGATCCTCAAAGCCCACCAGAGCATCCACACCGGAGAGAAACCGCACATGTGCACCGAGTGCGGAAAGAGCTTCCGGCAGAAGAACAACCTCCGGAAGCACCAGTGGATCCACACCGGCCAGACGCCCCACCAGTGCGCCGAGTGCGGGAAGCGCTTCAGCGAGAAGCAGCGCCTGCGGAAGCACCAGAAGACGCACACGGGGGAGACGCCGTATGCCTGCACCGAGTGCGGCACGCGCTTCAGCCACAAGCATAACCTGAAAACCCACCAGCGGGTGCACACCGGTGAGACGCCCTACAAGTGCCCCGAGTGCGAGAAAGGTTTCAAACAGCAGAACCACCTCATCAGCCACCTGCGCACCCACCGGGAGGAGAAGCTCTACAGGTGCACCCAGTGCGACAGGTTCTTCAGGAAGAAGCCCAACCTGCTGAAGCACGAGAAGAGCCATGCGGGGGACAGGCCCTACTGCTGCAGGGACTGCGGGAAGACCTTCAAGCAGAACAACCACCTGGTGAGTCACCAGAGGACCCACGCCGCAGGCAGCCTCTACATATGCACCGAGTGCGGGAAAAGCTACAGCCAGTGGGCGCATCTCACCACTCACGAGCGGGCCCACGCCAGGGAGGGCCAGCTGACCTGCAGTGAGTGCCGGTGAGGGCTTCGCAGAGACAGTCTCAGAACACACAGAGGAGAGACCATCAGTAGGACGAGCATGGTACAGCTTCGTGGAGCAGATGACTAAGAAAAGACCCGGAAAATCAACACTTTACCCATTTAGATGATATACTTTTGTTCTGAGTTTGTACAGGGCCTACCACAATGAGCCCTGGTCCATAGCTAGGGTTGTAGGCACTCCAGTAATACAAATAATAAATCATAATATACACAGTAGTGAATAGGAGAGCTTCATCGTGAAGCCAATAGGATGGTACATAGCAGAGAATCATCCACGCAGGAGAGGGACTCTCTAGGTGTAATAATTACTAGACAATTTCAGCAATAAATCTAATCCTAGTAGGACAGATGACTCTCTGGAGGACAGACACCATGTGCATTATGTGGAAATCTGAGTAGCAAGAAGTGTGCTGTTAGAATAGATACATGGAGCTGGATAGAGTGTCACTAATGAGTCCTCTATGCCCTTGCAGGATTGCTAGCAGAGAGAATGAGTATCATTTTGTTAAAGTATTTCTGCACAATGCATCATGAAATAAGATGGCTACATGCTGCATTGTATGTAGTTACATGATGGTCATTTTGTTTTTGTCCAGAATAACCATCAGGTTTACACACAATTGTTGATCAGTTTTCCAATTAACAGCCTGTTTTCCTTTTTTGTTTATTCAGGAGTTTCTTGGTTTGCCCCAGAACGTTTCCATTTGCATGACTTTCCAGCCCATCCTTTTAAAAACACTGTCTGTTCCCCATGGATAAAGTTCTGCCTTATGTTTTTTCCCCAAAGATACTGAATTCAATTCCTTGTGGTGTCTGTTTTATGGAAAAACAAGGGGAATGAACGAAAATTGCTAACATGAGATTCTGCAGAGACCAACGTATGATGTGCTTAGTTCATCCCACTGGAACATGGATCAGTGCTGCACCGGTCGAGATCCATTCAGAGAATTCTTGTCATCCAGGAGTGAAGCGAGTGAGAGGGTTTCTGGGCTTCTGGTGAGACATGGTCTATGATGGACACAGCTGTGACATGACGTGGCTTCTCCTGCCATTCTAGGCCCTGATCCTGGGAACATGCTCATGTTTAACCTTTAGCACATGAGCCGTCCCTTTGAAGTCAGGGGACGATTCACCGGGTTAAAGCCAAGCACTTGTGTAAGTGTTTGAAGGATCAGGGCCCTAATATGTTAACATATTTTTTCCTTTCTGAGACTGGAAATCTCATTCGAGCCTGGGAAGGGAAATAGAAACAAAGGGATGAATTTTTAACTGTCCCAGCAAAGAACAGGGTGAACAATAATTTGAGGTGAGTCATTTAAACTCAAGGGCTATTAAAGGGCTCATTGAGCTGTATCTATTGTAGAACAATCCCAGGATCAGAGAAAAGATAAATCAGTTTTAAGGGCAATAGGGACCATTCAACCATCTAGTCTGATCCCCTGTATACCGTAGGCGAGAGAATTTCACCCAGTTACTCCTGTACTGAGCCCAAGGATGTTTTCAAGGAAGACAGACCATCCTGATTTGAAGTATCAAAGAATAGTGAAATCCACCACTTCTCTGGGTAATTTGTTCTAGTGTTAAAAATTCGTGTCTCATTTCTCATTTGAATTTGTCTGGCTTCCGCTTCCAGCCATTAGTTCTTGTGACGACTTTCTCTGCTGGATTAAAGAGCCCACTAGTACCTGGTATTTTCTCCCCAGGAAGGTACTTCCATGCTGTAACCAAGTCTGCTCTCTAGCTTCTTTGTGATAAATTAAACAGACTGAGCTCCTTAACACTCTTGTGAGAAGGCATTTTCTACAGCCCCTGAGAACCATTTTTGTGGTTCTTTTCTGCACCATCTCCAATTTTTGAACATCCTTTTTAAAATGTCAGTACCAAAATTGGACACAATATTCCAGTACCGGTCTCACCGATGCTGTGCGCAGAGGTAAAAATTACCTCTCTACTTCTACTCACTGCTCCCCTGTTTATCGAAGGATCACACAACCCTTTTGTTTGCCGCACCGGGAGCTGATGGTTAGTTGTTTGCCCAGCTGACCCCCATGTTTTTTCAGCGTCACTGCTTCCCAGGGTACAGCCCGCACTCTGGTATGGCTTGCTGTGACCAGGGCATTCCTGGGCTCACTACCAGCCACGGCTGTATCCCCAGTCAGGTGCAAAAGACAAAAGGGGTTGAGTTAGCGGTCACCCCTTTCCAGCAGGGCACCACCGGCAATGGTGTTCCTCAGCAACACTCAGCCAAGTCACTGGTAGCAAACCAAACAATCATCCCGTCAGGCCTACTTTTCCTCGGGGAGGCTCTGGCAGGCACGCTGCCTAGTCAATACCTGGCCCTAGCCAGACTTCTCTGGCTCACAGAGTGAGAGCTGGAGGTCTGCTCTTCCTCCCAGCCAGTTCACAGCTGAGCTGGGCTCTCCCGCTGCTGTCCAACACCTATTGCAGGGCTGAATGGGCCCACGCAGCTCCTTAACACTCTCCAGCCAGCGTGGGCCATGTGTACCCCTTCGCACCTGCATTCCCCGTTCCTGGCTGTATGACCTCACGTGTGTAGTTACCAAGGATGTATTTCTCAAATATGAATATAAAATCCCCTCAAATTTCCACCCTTTCTTCTTTGATAATCAAACACTGCTACAAAATCACCCCAAATGTTTGAATTTATCAAATATGGACATAAAATCTCCTCAGATTTTGATCTGTTTAGCTATCATTATCAAGTATCAATATAAATGGTATTTTAGATTTTTGCCATTATCCAATTTTCAAATGCTGATAGAAAATTTCCTCAGATTTTGGCCCTTTTAATTCTATACTACTATAAAGTCACTTCAGATGTTGCTACTTCTCTTAATAATCTTATTGAATACCCTTAGATTTCCCATTTGCTCTTTCGAATTATTTAATATTGATATAAAATCTTCTCACCCTGCACCAGTTTCCATCAGATTTTTGAACAGTGATTAAAATCTCCTCAGATTATGCCACTTTTCATCCAATTTTCAAATATTGACATAACCCCCCCTTAAATGTTCCCTCTCTTTCAGTTATTGAAGAATGATTTAAAACAGCCCTCAGATATTGCCCCTTGTCACTAAATATCAAATACTGATTTTAAAAGCCTCAATTTTTTCCCATTTTCTCCCCAATTCTCAAACGTTGGTATAAAATCCACTCATGCTTTGCCTCTTCTCTCTAATTATTAAGTATTTATATAAAATTGCCTCTGTTGTCTATCTAATTTTCAAATATAAATATAAAACTCCCTCAGACTTGGGGTTTCCCATCCTGTCTAACTGCAGCAATGCCTCTTTGTTTTGGAGGGAAACTGCTGCCCTGAGTTTTCCACTCAGAGGGGCCCTTGCTCTGGATTAACTGCACTGAGGAGCTGACACTGAAGTACTGGTGTGAGTGAGACTGGAACCCGGGGCTGCCAAGTGCCAGGCCCTTTCTGTGACACTCGTGCGCTGGGCACCGCGTCACGTCAGCCGCAGTCTGGCAGGACCCTCGCACACTCAGCCGGGCCGTGGACAGCAGCTGCAGTTCCTGCTCCTGGGGCCCCTGGCACTGGATTTGAGGCAGCCAAGTGGTCTTGTTGCCTCTCGGCGCTCTCTGCCGCCCCACTCTCTGGCCCTTGGGGAGGAGGTGTAGCAATGGTAGTGGAAGGTGATAAGCAGGGGGGACCTGGGGATCAAGGGAGGGAAGAGAAGAGGGCTGGAGAAGGGGGAGAAAATGGGGCTGGGGCAGAATGAAAGAGGCTGCCCCAGGTCCCCCATTCCCTCAACAAACGCCTGGTTCCCACTGCCCCCTAACAACCCGCCAGCCTCTCCCTCCCAACACACACCGCCCCTGCCAGGCTCTGCCATTGCCTGAAAACCTCCAAGCTCATCTCTCCTCCACCCACAATCTGTAACCATCACCCCCTGGGATTGCTCTGACACCAGCCCGGCTCCCTGGCAGTGCCTGGGGGCACGTCTAACCAGGCCTGTGCTGCGAGCCCATATGACTCTAACGGCCGGAGGGGTCTGATGCCAACCAGCTCCAACACTCCACGCTCCTGCCGGGGTCCCCAGACGCCCCTTCTAACTCCTCACAGTCACACTGCCCCTTGCTGGCCCACAACTGCTCAGTAAAATCACCGCAAATCCCTCTTCCACGCTCCCCCCACCTCAGCAGCCCCTGGCTCCCCTCAGTACCTCCTCCCTATTGGCTCCCCAAGCACCCCTGGTTCCTCTCCAGTTCCTGCCTATCCCACCCATGCTCCCCCTGCTCGGGGGTTCCCTGACTTGGAATCAGTGACGATCGGTCACCAGTGTCACACGTGGGGCTGCACCAGATTTTGCAGCTGTGGGAATTGGGCACACTGGGCCCAGCTCTGCTCTCTGTGATAGCCATGTAAATCCAGAGTAACCCCACTCACGGCACCAGAGTGACTCCAGGTTTACACCAATGTGCCTGGGAGTGGAGTTCTGGCTCGTTTGCTGGGCAGGCAGCATGTGTTTGAATATCAGCCCCTGAACCTAGGGCAATCCTTGTCCCTTTTGCTCCTTGTCCCTTTCGCTCCAAGCCAGAGGAACTTTAATCATGGGATTGGGCCCACTGGACTTTGTTTCAAAATAGGGGTAAAATCCTCATTAGTTTA